AATTGTCCCAGTTTCTATTTCTCTGTCCCAGTTTGTAATTAATTTAATTGTCCCAGTTTCTATTTCTCTGTCCCAGTTTGTAATTAATTGTCCCAGTTTCTATTTCTCTGTCCCAGTTTGTAATTAATTTAATTGTCCCAGTTTCTATTTCTCTGTCCCAGTTTGTAATTAATTGTCCCAGTTTCTATTTCTCTGTCCCAGTTTGTAATTAATTTAATTGTCCCAGTTTCTATTTCTCTGTCCCAGTTTGTAATTAATTGTCCCAGTTTCTATTTCTCTGTCCCAGTTTGTAATTAATTTAATTGTCCCAGTTTCTATTTCTCTGTCCCAGTTTGTAATTAATTGTCCCAGTTTCTATTTCTCTGTCCCAGTTTGTAATTAATTTAATTGTCCCAGTTTCTATTTCTCTGTCCCAGTTTGTAATTAATTGTCCCAGTTTCTATTTCTCTGTCCCAGTTTGTAATTAATTTAATTGTCCCAGTTTCTATTTCTCTGTCCTGGTTTATATTTTTTTGACCTGACCTTGTTGAAATTTTGACCTTTGACCCTTTAACCCTGATGACCATCAAAATATCATCAAGTGTAGAACTCAATATTTACAATGCTATGATGTGAATATAAACTAAAGGTTAGTCAAAGTATTCCTGAGATATAGCAAAAAAATAATAATCAAAAGTGGTATTTTGACCAATGACCACCAAAATCATAATCCGGTGTAGAAGTTGATGTCCCTTTACTTGGTATAAACATCAGCTAAATCTGTTATGGGGTTCATAAAGTATTGTACAGAATCTTTATATTACAGATGCACTGACAAAATCAGAGCTTTTTTTTTGAGTTGCCTTATGTTTAATGCTATAAATTAGCAAACAAAAGTCTATGTGATATGTGTTAGTTGTAGAATGCTGAAGTCTCTGTCAGACCTGTTTCCAATCAACCTATGAAAAAAGATTGTCTACGACGAAACCTGAACACGATAGAAAGACAGGGTATGAACATCTACAAAGATTGAGGGTAAAATGACTTCTCTCCTCCAATGGTCAAAGAATCAAGTTGATCAGAAACTTGCTGATAAGTAGATGTACAGTTAGTGACAACGTCTCTTAGATGTACAGTTAGTGACAATGTCTCTTAGATGTACTGTTACAGTGACAATGTCTCAGAGATGTACAGTAAGTGACAATGTCTCAGAGATGTACAGTTAGTAACAATGTCTCAGAGATGTACAGTTACAGTGACAATGTCTCAGAGATGTACAGTTACAGTGACAATGTCTCAGAGATGTACAGTAAGTGACAATGTCTCAGAGATGTACAGTTAGTGACAACGTCTCTTAGATGTACAGTTACAGTGACAATGTTTCTTAGATGTACAGTTACCGTGACAATGTCTCTTAGATGTACAGTAAGTGACAATGTCTCCTAGATGTACAGTTAGTGACAATGTCTCTTAGATGAACAGTTAGTGACAATGTCTCTTAGATGTACATTGAGTGACAATGTCTCTTAGATGTACAGTTAGTGAAAATGTCTCTTAGATGTACAGTTACAGTGACAATGTTTCTTAGATGTACAGTTACCGTGACAATGTCTCTTAGATGTACAGTAAGTGACAATGTCTCCTAGATGTACAGTTAGTGACAATGTCTCTTAGAAGTACAGTTACAGTGACAATGTCTCAGAGATGTAGAGTTAGTGACAATGTCTCTTAGATGTACAGTTACAGAGACAATGTCTCAGAGATGTACAGTTAGTGACAACGTCTCTTAGATGTACAGTTAGTGACAATGTCTCTTAGATGTACAGTTACAGTGACAATGTCTCTTAGATGTACAGTTACAGTGACAATGTTTCTTAGATGTACAGTTACAGTGACAATGTCTCTTAGATGTACAGTAAGTGACAATGTCTCTTAGATGTACAGTTAGTGACAATGTCTCTTAGATGAAAAGTTAGTGACAATGTCTTAGATGTACAGTTAGTGACAATATCTCTTAGATGAACAGTTAGTGACAATGTCTTAGATGTACAGTTAGTGACAATGTCTCTTAGATGTACAGTTACAGTGACAATGTCTCAGAGATGTACAGTTAGTGACAACGTCTCTTAGATGTACAGTTAGTGACAACATCTCTTAGATGTACAGTTAGTGACAATGTCTCTTAGATGTACAGTTAGTGACAATGTCTCTTAGATGAACAGTTAGTGACAATGTCTTAGATGTACAGTTAGTGACAATGTCTCAGAGATATACAGTTACAGTGACAATGTCTCAGAGATGTACAGTTAGTGACAACGTTATTGATTCGCCCGACTCGTGAGATGTTCAGTTACAGTGACAATGCCTCAGAGATGTACAGTTAGTGACAATGTCTCAGAGATGTACAGTTAGTGACAATGTCTCAGAGATATACAGTTAGTGACAATGCCTCTAAGATGTACAGTTAGTGACAATGTCTCTTAGATGTACAGTTAGTGACAATGTTTCAGAGAGGTACAGTTACAGTGACAATGTCTCTTAGATGTTCAGTTATAGTGACAATGTCTCAGAGATGTACAGTTAGTGAAAACATCTCTTAGATGTACAGTTAGTGACAATGTCTCAGAGATGTACAGTAACAGTGACAATGTCTCAGAGATGTACAGTTACAGTGACAATGTCTCAGAGATGTACAGTTAGTGACAACATCTCTTAGATGTACAGTTAGTGACAATGTCTAAGAGATGTACAGTAACAGTGACAATGTCTCAGAGATGTACAGTTACAGTGACAATGTCTCAGAGATGTACAGTTAGTGACAATGTCTCAGAGATATTCAGTTACAGTGACAATGTCTCTTAGACGTACAGTTAGTGACAATGTCTCAGAGATGTACAGTTAGTGACAATGTCTCAGATGTACAGTTAGTGGCAATGTCTCAGAGATGTACAGTTAGATACAATGTCTTAGAGATGTACAGTTACAGTGACAATGTCTCAGAGATGTACAGTAAGTGACAATGTCTCAGAGATGTACAGTTAGTGACAATGTCTCAGAGATGTACAGTTAGTGACAATGTCTCAGATGTACAGTGACAATGTCTCAGAGATATACAGTTACAGTGATAATGTCTCTTAGATGTACAGTTAGTGACAATGTCTCTTAGATGTTCAGTTAGTGACAATGTCTCATAGATGTTCAGTTACAGTGACAATGTCTCAGAGATGTACAGTTACAGTGACAATCTCTCAGAGATGTACAGTTAGTGACAATGTCTCTTAGATGCTCAGTTACAGTGACAATGTCTCTTAGATGCACAGTTAGAGTGACAATGTCTCTTAGATGTACAGTTAGTGATAATGTCTCTTAGATGTACAGTTAGTGACAATGTCTCTTATATGTTCAGTTACAGTGACAATGTCTCTTAGATGCACATTTACAGTGACAATGTCTCTTAGATGTACAGTTACAGTGACAATGTCTCAGAGATGTAGAGTTAGTGACAATGTCTCAGAGATATAGATTTAGTGACCACGTCTCTTAGATGTTCGGTTAGTGACAATGTCTCTTAGATGTACAGTTAGTGACAATGTCGCTTAGATGTTCAGTTACAGTGACAATGTCTCAGAGATGTACAGTTAGTGACAATGTCTCTTAGATGTACAGTTACAGTGACAATGTCTCAGAGATGTAGAGTTAGTGACAATGTCTCAGAGATATAGATTTAGTGACAACATCTCTTAGATGTTCGGTTAGTGACAATGTCTCTTAGATGTACAGTTAGTGACAATGTCTCTTAGATGTACAGTTAGTGACAATGTTTCAGAGATGTACAGTTACACTGACAATGTCTCAGAGATGTACAGTTAGTGACAACGTTATTGATTCGCCCGACTCGTGAGGAAATCCGTAAAAAAAAAAGTGAGATTCATATTATATGATTACCAGTACACAACAAGGAGATAAACACTGGACATTACCAGTATCCACACTGAGCAATATAAGTAAATTACATGTACATCACTATCATAAACATACCACATACTAAAACTGTACCTTAAAACCCACAACAATTTAAAACTTCAGAGCATTCATCACAAAAAGTATTTTAAAAATCCACCATCACAACATTGAAGATCTGCCATAACCTGTTTATTGCCAGGGTGATACAGTTATAACTATCAGATGTTCAACGATGCTGGGTGATATCTCCACAACAAAACCCAGAAGTTATAATCTACCAAAATCAATGTTATCCACCGACTCTTCAGAACAATATTCTCATTTCTATACCCGCACAGTAGTTTGTGTCAAATTTAAATTCCACAACATTTTTTTTCCTTGAATAATAAATATTTATCAAAAACAGTCAACAAAGCACTCACAATACATCGTAACAAAAAGCTGGAAATAAATAGGGAATTTAACAACTTGTAATAATGTATATCATCAACTATATACTACTTTATACTACCAACCAGTAATATTATCAATTTATTATCAATTAATATTGACATGGGAATTTAATAAGAAGATAAGAATAACTTGGGAATGCATTTTCCTATTTTGGAATGGTTTACTCATATAAGTATGTCTTTGCGTGCCAGGTGAACTTAGTCTGAAGAGACTGATAACCACTATCCACCGAAGCACTGCACATAGAGAAATCGTGCGTCTTAGACATTGCATAGTTTTACACTTAGCAGTGACAGTGCTTTCCACAAATTGTTTAAAAGTGTTTTAAGGAACTTGGTCAACTTTTAGTGATTGGCAATCTATAAATAGCAGTAGTATATAGATGATAAATAGTTTGTCACAAAGTGTTTTCAGGATTTGTCGTTCGAACAATTTTCTCATCATTCGACCACGGATAAAAACTTTAGACAACCTGTCATGGACTCTCAATTTCATCCTTGGGCTCACAATGAGAAATCTGTTCTCGGGACACACCCTGAAAACAGTGTGATAAATAATATTATAGCCATCATTTGATATGTCTTTAATCAAGACAGAATTCCACTTCTACATTGTTCACTTAAAGTCCATTTAATCCTCAATGGCGTACTCCATCATGTTTTCAAAGGAGAATGGTTGGAACTTATATCCTTCACCTGAGTAAAACTTTGACTGGAACTCCACCCTGCAAATAAAGACAAAGATATATATATATATATAGGAAAATAGTGAATGTTACATCAATTCCTTCACATTCAGTACATCAGGGCTACTTTCAGTACATCAGTACACCAGGGCTACCATCTGTACACCAGTACACCAGGGCTACCATCAGTACACCAGGGCTACCATCAGTACATCAGTACTCCAGGGCTACCACCAGTACACCAGGGCTACCAACAGTACACCAGTACACCAGGGCTACCATCAGTACATCAGTACACCAGGGCTACCATCAGTACCCCAGGGCTACCATCAGTACATCAGTACACCAGGGCTACCACCAGTACACCAGGGCTACCAACAGTACACCAGTACACCAGGGCTACCATCAGTTCATCAGTACACCAGGGCTACCATCAGTACACCAGGGCTACCATCAGTACACCAGTACACCAAGGCTACCACCAGTACACCAAGGCTACCACCAGTACACCAGGGCTACCATCAGTACACCAGGGCTACCATCAGTACACCAAGGCTACCATCAGTACATCAGTACACCAGGGCTACTGTCAGTACATCAGTACACCCAAGGCTACCACCAGTACACCAGGGCTACCATCAGCACATCAGTACATCAGTACATCAGGGTTACTTGACTAAAAACTTTCTGAAACATCATGTAATATTTTCCTGTTTGCCAACAGTGCTCTGCACTAGGGCCTTTATAGATCCAGGGTCAGCATCAGCAAAGTGTAGTCCACAAATGTTCCAGAACAGTCTAGGTTCTGAATGTACCTCTGGTACCATCAGAGAAAGAAAACATGGTAATGTAAACAGACTTTGTTTACTGGTGATGTAGACCAATAATTTAACTTGATCAGTAGAGTTTCAAAATCTGAATAGAGGAATTAACTTCCCTGTTATTCTTTGACTTTTTTAACGTACAACAGACCCATTTCCTCAGTAACCCAGCACTGATGACCAGACCCTTTTCATTAGTAACCCAGCATTGATGACCAAACCCTTTTCATTAGTAACCCAACATTGATGACCAGACCCTTTTCCTCAGTAACCCAGCACTGATGACCAGACCCTTTTCCTCAGTAACCCAGCATTGATGACGGGACCCTTTTCCTCAGTAACCCAGCACTGATGACCAGACCCTTTTCCTAAGTAACCCAGCACTGATGACTAGACCCTTTTCCTCAGTAACCCAGCATTGATGACCAGACCCTTTTCCTCAGTAACCCAGCACTGATGACGGGACCCTTTTCCTCAGTAACCCAGCATTGATGACGGGACCCTTTTCCTCAGTAACCCAGCATTGATGACCAGACCCTTTTCCTAAGTAACCCAGCACTGATGACTAGACCCTTTTCCTCAGTAACCCAGCATTGATAACCAGACCCTTTTCCTTAGTAACCCAGCATTGATGACCAGACCCTTTTCCTTAGTTATAACCCAGCATTGATGACCAGACAATTTTCCTTAGTAACCCAGCATTGATGACCAGACAATTTTCCTTAGTAACCCAGCACTGATGACTAGACAATTTTCCTCAGTAACCCAGCATTGATGACCAGACCCTTTTCCTAAGTAACCCAGCATTGATCACCAGACAATTTTCCTCAGTAACCCAGCATTGATGACCAGACACTTTTCCTCAGTAACCCAGCACTGATCACTGGACACTTTTCATAAGTAACCGAGCATTGATGACCAGACCCTTTTCCTCAGTAACCGAGCACTGATCACTGGACACTTTTCATAAGTAACCGAGCATTGATGACCAGACAATTTTCCTTAGTTATAACCCAGCATTGATGACCAGACAATTTTCCATAGTAACCCAGCATTGATGACCAGACAATTTTCCTTAGTTATAACCCAGCATTGATGTCCAGACAATTTTCCTCAGTAACCCAGAATTGATGACCAGACCATTTTCCTCAGTAACCCAGCATTGTTGACCAGACAATTTTCCTTAGTAACCCAGCATTGATGACCAGACAATTTTCCTCAGTAACCCAGCATTGATGACCAGACAATTTTCCTTAGTAACCCAGCATTGATGACCAGACCCTTTTCCTCAGTAACCCAGCACTGATGACCAGACCCTTTTCCTCAGTAACCCAGCATTAATGATCAGACCCTTTTCCTCAGTAACCCAGCATTGATGACCAGACCCTTTTCCTCAGTAACCCAGCACTGATGACCAGACAATTTTCCTTAGTTACCCAGCATTGATGACCAGACAATTTTCCTTAGTTATAACCCAGCACTGTCGACGGCCAGACCCTTTTTCCTCACTACCCCAGCACTGATGACCAGACCCTTTTCATAAGTAACCGAGCATTGATGACCAGACCCTTTTCCATCCCCATGTTCTCAGGATATATTCCTCAGATTTTTTTATTTATCAATTGTATGGTATTCAAAGGAGGAAATTACCCCTGATAATTATTGTTTACAAATGTTTTGATAATTTGTCAAAACTTTCACAATTTGTTTTGACAACTATATTTATCATTGAAACGTGGCTATTGGACTTGTACAACTTGACTTACCAATGTAGACGGAGAGCATGGAGGAATGCAGACAGACCCTCCATGACAACTAAAACGACAACAGTCAGCACCGCCCAGAATGCAAACAGGGGCACAGTAACAAATGCACCCAGGATTCCATGGTCCATGGCCAGCCCAATGTGTAATACCATCTTCCACAGGACCTCGGACAACTCTGAAGCAGCGAAATTACAAGTAGAAATATGGAAATGTATGTAACATTTAGAATTATAGAAATGTATGTCACATTTAGAATTATAGAAATGTATGTCACATTTAGAATTATAGAAATGTATGTCACATTTTGAAAACATGTCAAAATAAAGTCAACATCATCCAAGAAACAAGCTACACAGTATTTTGGTGAAACTTGATATTCCACACTTAGAGCTGTAAATAGATTTCATTCATAAACGCCACCTCAAAAGAGTAAAAACAAGTATGAAATATATGTGATATTCATAAACCAAAATATGTCTGTTAACCATACATAGGCCCCCACTCCCACTGTTACACAAACATAGGCCCCCACTCCCACTGTTAAACATACATAGGCCCCCACTCCCACTGTTAAACATACATAGGCCCCCACTCCCACTGTTAAACATACATAGGCCCCCACTCCCACTGTTAAACATACATAGGCCCCCACTCCCACTGTTACACAAACATAGGCCCCCATTCCCACTGTTTCACAAACATAGTCCCCCACTCCCACTGTTAAACATACATAGGCCCCCACTCCCACTGTTAAACATACATAAGTACCCACTCCCACTGTTAAACATACATAGGCCCCCATTCCCACTGTTAAACATACATAGGCCCCCACTCCCACTGTTAAACATACATAGGCCCCCACTCCCACTGTTAAACATACATAGGCCCCCACTCCCACTGTTAAACATACATAGGCCCCCACTCCCACTGTTAAACATACATAGGCCCCCACTCCCACTGTTAAACATACATAGGCCCCCACTCCCACTGTTAAACATACATAGGCCCCCACTCCCACTGTTAAACATACATAGGCCCCCACTCCCACTGTTAAACATACATAGGCCCCCACTCCCACTGTTAAACATACATAGGCCCCCACTCCCACTGTTAAACATACATAGGCCCCCACTCCCACTGTTAAACATACATAGGCCCCCACTCCCACTGTTAAACATACATAGGCCCCCACTCCCACTGTTAAACATACATAGGCCCCCACTCCCACTGTTAAACATACATAGGCCCCCACTCCCACTGTTAAACATACATAGGCCTCCACTCTCACTTTTAAACATACATAGGCCCCACTCCCACTGTTAAACATACATAGGGCCCCACTCCCACTGTTAAACATACATAGGCCCCCACTCCCACTGTTAAACATACATAGGCCCCCACTCCCACTGTTAAACATACATAGGCCCCCACTCCCACTGTTAAACATACATAGGCCCCCACTCCCACTGTTAAACATACATAGGCCCCCACTCCCACTGTTAAACATACATAGGCCCCCACTCCCACTGTTAAACATACATAGGCCCCCACTCCCACTGTTAAACATACATAGGCCCCCACTCCCACTGTTAAACATACATAGGCCCCCACTCCCACTGTTAAACATACATAGGCCCCAGTTCCCACTTTTAAACAAACATAGGCCCCCACTCCCGCGCTTAAACATACATAGGCCCCCACTCCCTCTGTTACACAAACATAGGCCCCCACTCCCACTGTTAAACATATATAGACCCCCACTCACACTGTTAAACATACATAGGCCCCCACTCCCACTGTTAAACATACATAGGCCCCCACTCCCACTGTTAAACATAAATAG